CATGCCATGTGGGACCCTCCTCCTGTGGCTGGGGAGCAGCCAGGAATAGAACCAGCGCTGCAGAGGCTGCGGGCAGATTCGCAACCCAGCGCTCAACCGCTGCTCCTCCAGGGAGGCCCGAGAAGGGTCCATTTTTATACAACCTCACCAGTTCAAATATTTTAGTCTTTGTCAAAATATTAATATTGTAAGCGAAATACAACAACCGCCAAACTCACTATTGTTTTGGTTTGCATTTGGTTCAACATTTTTTTCTGTTTATATCGCATATCTTACTATTCTGTGGGCATAAACCCATTTTAAGTCTTTTCATTTTGTCAACATCTTTTTTAAATGAAGCTATTCTCATTTACACTGCCTTTTTATAGATGAGTAAAAGGGGTGGATGCAATCTGAACCACTCTCACCATCATTGTTTATTGCAATTTGTAAAATCTTGCAAATTTGATGGCAAAAAAATGTTATCTATTTTCATTTGTGCTTTTATTACTAAGATGTTTGAAAGTTTATGTATAGCTTTGGATGAAAATAAGTTTTAATAATATATTTTGTTTAACTCAGTATATCTAAAATAGCAGCATTGCAACCAGTAATCCGTGTAAAGTTTATTGAGATATTTGTATTTTCATTGATTTTTTCCTCTCATTACTTTTTAAAAATATGTAAACAAGTATGTGTTACCATTTACATTTTCTCCCCTTCTTATACAAAAGTTTACATATTAATATATTGTTCTGCACCCAAGCTTTTAAAATTAATATACGTGGCAATATATGCATTGCGATATAGCAGTGTCTTCATGCTTTTTGATAGCTGCATAGTAGTCTATTGTGTAGTTGTTCCATTTTTTATTTAATTAAGTTTTTGTTATTGAAATACCATAGATTCACATCCTTTCCAGTGTTTTGGAAGAATAGGATTTCCTCTCTGAGGTGTAGTTACCACAGCACTCCCACCACCAAAGCATCCACAAACATCTGCCAAATTCCATTCTGTTTTCTCCCTTCCCAGTTTCTCATTCCTCCCTCCCTCCTATCCCCTCTGAAATCTGCATATCTATGATAAGTTTTCAAGGTTTAGTTTTAGTTAGCTTTTTTCTGATGCTTTGTTTGTTTTTTCTATACTCCACCTTTATTTTTCTCCTCTGGTTTACTTCTCATCATAATCCCTTCCAGCTCCATCCATGTTGCTGTGAATGGCATGAGTTTATCTTTTTTGATCACTGAGTAGTATTCCATTGCATATATATATATATATATATATATATATATATATCATCTGTTTTTGCACACTTAGTTTGATTCTATATCTTGGCTATTGTAAATAGTGCTGTAGTAAACATAGGTTTGCAGGTTTCCTTTCAATTACCATTTTCACATTGTGTGTGTGTGTGTGTGTGTGTGTGAGTGTGTGTGTGTTTAGATGCCTGGAAGTAGAACTGCTGGGTCATATGGCATTTCCATTTTTAGTTTTTTTAAGAAACTTCCATACTGCTTTACATAAGTGCTGAACCAGTCTACATTCTCAAGAGCAGTGTAAGAAGGTTCATTTTACTCCACATCCTTGGCAGTACTTGTTTCTGGTCTTTTTGATATGGGCCATACTCACAGATGTCAGGTTGTATGTCATTTCAGTTTTGATTTTCTTTTCCGTGATGGTAAGTGATATGAACATTTTTTTTTTCATGAACCTGTTGGCCAGCTTTTGTTTCCTTTGGAGAAGTACCTATTTAGCGGGCCTTCCCGGTGGTACAGTGGGTTGAGCGCAGCACTGTGAAGCTGTCCGCAGCCTCTGCAGTGCAGGTTCAATTCCTGGCTGGCCAGGGAGATACCCACATGGCACGGCAGACCTCTCCTGTCATGCCTGCTGCTCCCCTCAGCAGTGCTTTTGGTCTGTCTGCCTGTTCTGCTCCCCACTCTGTCTCTGGTGAATCCTCTCATACTCCCGCACCTCTAGACTGTACCCCAGATATTGCATAAATAAATAATAAATATTTTTTAAAAAAGAAGTACCTATTTTGCTCATCTGCCCATTTTTCAATTTCATTCTTTGTTTTCTTTCTGTTGAGTTGTATGAGTCCTTTATAGACTTTGATATCAACCCCTTGTCAGATGTATGGTGTGAAAATATTGTATCCCATTAATTAGGGTGTCTCTTGATTTTAGTCTTCTTTGCTCTGCAAAATCTTTATAATTTGATGTAGTCCAAATTGTTATAGTCTCTTTTTGTTTTTTTGCTGCTGGGGATGGATTCAAAAAAGTATCTCTGAAGCTTACTTCATGGAGTCTTTCACCTATGTTTTCTTCTATGTATTTTATGGCTTTAGGTTTTACATCCAAGTCTTTTACCCATTTTGGGTTGATTTTTGTATATGTTGTAAGATAGCAGTCTAGTTTTCCTCTTTTGCATGTGGCAGTCTAATTTTACCTACACCATTGATAGAAGATGTTTTCCTTGTTCCAATGTATTTTATTCACTCCTTTGTTGTCCATATCATGTGTGAGTTTATTTCTGGGTGCTTGATGCTGTTTCATTGGTCTGTGTGTTTGATTTTGTTCTAGTGCCATTTGGTTTTAATTATTAAATATTAATTTATTTATGCATACAAGAACTGGGATACAGGCCAGAAATGTGGGGGGGCAGTGAGAGGATTTGCCAGAGACAGAGTGGGGAACAGAACAGGTGGATAGACTGAAATACACTGCTGAGGGAATCAGCAGGTGAGTCAAGAGAGGTCTGCTGTGCCATGTGGGGTGCTCCCAGGCTGGGGATTGAACGTGTGCTGTAGTGGCTGTGAATGGCTTCATAGGTTGTGTCTTAACCACTTGTGCCACCAGGAAGGCCCACAGTTTTAATTATTATGGCTTTATAGTATAGTTTGAAGTCTGGAAGTATAATGCCACTATTTTACCCTCTTTTGTTAGAATGGCTCTGACTGTTAATTGTCTTTTTTTTGTTCCATATGAATTTCAGTTATGTTTATTCCATTTCTTTGAAGAATGTCATTGAAATTTTCATTAGATTTCCTTAAATCTATAAATTGTTTTTGGTAGGAGGCCATTTTGATAATTTTGAGTCTTCCAATCCATGAGGAAGGGGTATTTTTTTTTTACTTATTTATGGTTTCCTTTATTTCTTTTATCAATGCTTTATAGTTTTCTTTGTGTAGGTCCTTCTCCTTTTTTATTAGCTTTACTCCTAAGTGTTTATTTCTTTTTGCTGCAATTATAAATGGGATGGTTTTCTTAATTCCTTCTTCTTCTACCTCATTGTTTGCATATAAGAAGGCAACTGATATTTTTGTCCATTGATTTTGCTACCCACCACTAGTTTATTTTACTTTTTCTGTGAGGTTTTTAAGGTTCTTTCTATATATTTTCATATCAGCAGCAAATAGTGATTGTTTTATTTCTTCTTTCCCTGTTTGATTCCTTTTATGTACTTCTCTTGCTTAATTGCTCTAGCTAGGCCTTCCAATACTATGTAGAATTGTAGTTGTATATGTAGACATCTTTGTCCTGTACCTCATCTTAGTGGAAAGACTTTCCATTAATAATGATGCTAACTCTGGGCCTCCCCTGGTAGCGCGGTGGTTGAGCGTTGGGCTGTGAAGCTGCCCACAGCCTCTGCAGCACTGGTTCAATCCCCGGCCCCCGGTGAAGGTCCCACATGGCATGCAGACCTCTCCTGCTGCACCCACTGCTCCCCTCAGCAGTGTATTTTGTCGTTCTGCCTGTTCTGTTCCCCGCTCTGGCTCTGGTGAATTCTCTCACCTTCCCACGCTTCTGACTATACCCACTGTACCCAGTGCTTGCATAAATAAATAAATAAATAAATCTTTAAAAAAATGATGCTAGCTGTGGGTTTGTCATATATTATGGCTTTTACTACATTAGGATATGTCCCATCTTCCCCAAATTTTTTGAGTGCTTTTTTTATAAATGGATGTTGGATCTTGTCAAATGCTTTCTTGGCATCCATTGATATGATCATATTGTTTTTAATCTTTCATTTTATTGATGTGGTGAATTACATTGAGTGATTTTGAGACGTTGAACCATCCTTGAGTCCCTGGTATAAATCCTACTTGGTCAGGTTTGAATGTTTAAAAAAAAAATTCATTGCTTGAACATGATGTATCCATTTAAGAATCTACAGTCATATTTTTCATAAATGTACACATATATAAATAACATATATACACACACATATATACATAACATACAGAATTGCATACATGCCAAAAGGGAAAAAAAAAAAAACTGTTCAATAATTTGAGCCATTCAAGATGAAATAGGATATGATGGCAATCAGTAAATATTATATATGTATAGATTTTTTAAAAGGTTTAATGTGCTATTTTTTTAAAATATTTATTTATTTATTTATACAAGCACTGGGTACAGTCAGAAGCGCGGGAGGGTGAGAGAGTTCACCGAGCCAGAGCGGGAAGCAGAGCAGGCAGAAAGACTGAAGTGCACTGCTGAGGGGAGCAGCAGGCGGCAGGAGAGTTCTGCTCGCCATGTGGAACCCTCTTCTGGTGGCCGGGGAGCAGCCAGGGATCAAACTGGTGCTGTAGAGGTTGCGGGCAGCTTCGCAACCCAGCGCTCAACCGCTGCGCCACCGGGGAGGCCCTATGTATAGATATTTAAACAGAGATATGGATAGAGGAGTAGATTGATGCAAGGGTATTCCAAATAAGTTTTAAATGCTCATTTAATCCTTACATCCTGTGAGTTTAGAAAATTGAAACACTTAGACGTTTAAATCTTCCTAGTTCATATAGCAATTAGTGGTAGAAACAGAAGCCAAACTGTAATATCTTAAATTCTACCCAGGATCCTTTTCAATATTCAATATTCCATGTTACTATTACCCCTGCTGCTGCCTCAAAATGTAGTTGCCTCTTTGTAGTTTATGATGTCCCACTGTTGGGAGCTGAAGTTGTTCAGTCTAGCCAATGTGACTACTGAGTAATGAGTCCTTTCTTTTTCCTCCAGGCATATCCCACCCTGGCTTGGTGGCCAAGCCCTTTGAGAAAGTGACATACCGCTGGACAGTACCACCTCATGCTGGCCCTACTGCTCAGGATCCTGACTGTCTCACCTGGATGTATTTCTCTGCCGTGGATCCCATAAAAGATACAAATTCTGGTCTGGTGGGACCCCTGCTGGTGTGCAGGGCTGGTGCCTTGGGTGCAGATGGCAAGCAGGTATTACCAGGGCTTCTGGCTTAGAAATCCTGCTGGTAGATGTATGAGGCTGGGTTGTTCAATAGAATTGGGTTCTAAAGGTAAAGGAATGGAAAGCAAAATAACCAGGCTATTGAATCAGGAATTAACAGTCGGGGACCTCATGTTATCTTGCATGCTATTCTTATGGTTACAAACACATCTTCTTAGTCTTTATTACTTTCTGTTCAATATGCTCCTATTATCTCATTTTTTTGTATCTCAGTGGTCCTTAAACCTTGCTTATAATTCCTAAATTGGCTTTAATATTTGCTTGTCTTCTTCTTTATCCAGTCCACTGTTTGTAGCTATGTAACCTTGGGCAAGTTAGTTAACCTCTGTTTGCCTCAGTTTCCTCATGTGGCATATGGTTAACAACAATGAAATAAACCATTTTTGGGTTTCTGCAATTAAGCAAAATAATCCATATAAAGTACTTAACATAATATTCAATATGTAATAAGTACCAGTAAATGTTAGATGTAACATTATACTAATAATTAAAAGAATAAAATAATGTGTTAATTATTATAATTATTTTGCCTTGCTTGGCAATCCCCCCAAAATTACCTATACAACTTTTCCCACTCTTCTCCCCTAGTGACTTCAGACTCTTCTACTACACTCTGTACATTTTCTCCATAAACCTTATCTCATGTCTTTGTCTTCCACTCCAGTCTTGGCACTTTATTCTGACCTCCTTTACTTACCTGCAATTTGAGGTTACCTAAGGAAAAAAAAATATAGCAATATCTATAGTTCTAGGCAGAAGATAAGGAGTTGACTCTGTGTCTGGAAAAGGAAAAGGGAAAGAATCAGGGATCATTAGGTGTAGAACTGCAGAGTCCACGATTGCTGAATTTTTTGTCATTCTTCCCTTTGTTTTCTTCCAACGGGCATACAGAAAGGGGTGGATAAAGAATTCTTTCTCCTTTTCACCGTGTTTGATGAGAACAAGAGCTGGTATACCAATACCAATCAAGCAGCTGCTATGTTGGATTCCCAGCTGCTCTCGGAGGATGTCAAGGGTTTCCAGGACTCCAATCGGATGCATGGTATGGGGAGTGTTTTTGCTCTGAGCTACAACTGAAATGTTCCCAGTGAAAACTAACCCTAAACTTAATGATTGCTCATCCTTAAGAAAACACTGATCTGATCCCAAGTGAGGAATTAAACATAAGACAGCAAATCTTATACTTAGTACTTTTTTGTGCTGTGTCTTGTGTTACATGGTAGGGGGGACAGTAGAAAAAGTGAAATGAGGATTAACACAAGGAATCTACCAGAGAATGAGGAGAGTAAGCTGGAATGACATGTTTCCAGTTTTATCTTCTCCCTTATCACTCACTACTCTTGCTCCCCAACCCTATACTCCAGTCAGTTGGTGCTCTTTTTCTCTCCAAGAGCATATCTTGTACTTTTCTTATTTCATGCTTTTTTAGTGATATGTTCTCCACCTGAAATATCCCTTCTTACATTTTTTTTTTTTTACCTTCAGTTAGTGGACATTAATTCCATTCTCAAATTCCCTAATTCAAAGTTAACCCTCCCATGTAATCATTTCTTATCACCCACATCCACTATATGACACACTCTTCTGGACTACTGTTGTGTTTTCATACTATTTTAATAACCATAATCTTCTCAATATTATAGTTATTTTTACATGATTTCTGACATCTGCTACAGTGTAGTCTCCTGAAAGGTTATTATTGTCTTGTTTGTTTATCTCTGTATCCTCTGTACAATATAACACACAGTAAATATTTATTGAACTAGTGAACTACCAAATTAATGGGGAGATGAGTGAATGAATGGGAAGACGTGAACCTGATTTGCTAGGAGTTCCCAGCATTTTGCAATGAGGTAGAACTAACAACACCCACCAAATAATTATAAAAGAATCCAAGACAAGTTATAATTATTTGTGAAACATCTTTTTAATTATCATAGATTTCAGAGGAAGAAAATATGAATAAAAAATCTAATTAAAGTATGACTGGGAAAAGTGAATGTTTGAGCTGGATCTTAAAGGCTGGAAAGGTTTTAGTCTTATGACGATACAAATAGGGACATCAGAATCAGGAAGTCAGTAAAGTTCTTATCAACATCATATGGGATTACCAAATATGGTTATTCACTAAAACTTGTTCCAGTGGATATGAGGACATTGAAATTGGGTGATTTTCAAGCAGGGCTCCCTGTAATTTTGAGGGGTGTGTAGAAGTTATGGTGAGTCAAGAATGAGTGTGGTGTGTTTTTGCTTCATTTCTTGGTTCTTGTAACTAGTCAGTTCCATCAAATGGAGAAAAGTAAGATAGTTTTACTAACCAAGTTTATTCCAGTTTGAATTTTTTTAATTTATTAAGTTCCTGATTAGTACCAGGAAACATGCCAGGTGCTAGGGAAATCACACAGATTCAGGAAAACATATATGCTTTCTTCCAGGTTTATCTAGTGCAGAAGGTTATATTGTAAGTAAAAAATCAGTGGACTCTGTGGTAAGTGATACGGCAGAATTTTGTGTTTGGGGAGAAGATTTCATAGAATCTGACTGAGGGCAATGACTCTGCTTCATAGAGGTGACATTTGATCTGAGGCATGATGTATGAGTATTACACTGCTGTAGAGAGTGGCCAAAGGAAAAATTTGTGCCAAGTAGAGGGACTAGCATGTGAAATGTCAATAAATGTTTTCTAATACCTACTGTGGTCTTGGGAATACAGAGGTCAATAGAGCTCACAGGTTGATAGTGTGTTTGTGGGATTGCAGATTGGTGAAAGAACAACTTGCAGGCACTGGTACCAGGGAGGAGGTTTTTGCAGGTGTGTAGGCCAGAGATGAGACCCAGAAGCAAGGTAGTGGTGGTGAAGATGAAGAAGAGACAGATTGCAAATCATGTGGAGCCCCAATACTTCAACTCCATGGTAGAGAATGAGAACAACATGGAGGAGGAAAAATTAGATAGGCTTTAAGAGAACCAGGAAAAAGTGTGGTACAACAAAAGCTAAGGAAGGAGAGCTTCAAGAGAGCAGAAATAGGAAAAGTTGATATTTCTGTGTGTGAATGGCTTCTGGTAATGAAGAGTAGTTCAGGTTTGTGGAGCAAGATATAAGATGATAGGAAGCTCAGTTTGACCCTTGTCCTGAAGAGGCAGATCTTTATATATAGACTAAAGTGGCTTAAGGAAGAAGAGAGAGACATTTAGTATAACTAAAAATTGAAATTGTGGAAAATCGTAGTAAATAACTGATGCCATGCTGCTGGCTGGTGCGTGAGTCAACTATCTGGTCTCATCTCCCTATCCTGTCTTGTCTTTTTGTTTTCCAGCCATTAACGGGTTTCTGTTCTCTAACCTGCCCAGGCTGGACATATGCAAGGGTGACATGGTGGCCTGGCACCTGCTTGGCCTGGGCACAGAGACAGATGTGCATGGGGTCATGTTCCAGGGCAATACTGTGCAGCTTCAGGGCATGAGGAAGAGTGCAGCCATGCTCTTTCCTCATACTTTTGTCATGGCCATCATGCAGCCAGACAATCCTGGTAAGTACATCGGGACTTGGGTTCAGAGGCTTTGTTGTGCATGGGGCTATGATGATGGAAGGATGATGCTGGTGAAGAATAAAGAAGAGCTTTGTTAAGGGTATTTGGAAATACTCAAAAACCTTTTTCCTTCCCTCTCTTCACTATGCTGTCCATGTTAGTGTTATTTGTGTTTTTTTTCTTGTTTGTTTGTCTGTTTGTTTTTCGCAACTGCAGGCAGTATAGTGTGAAGAGCTGAGGAAGCTTGCTTCTGAAATAATGGGAGAGAAGTAGGGATACTATTCAACATGAGGGCAGTTCTTACATAGGCAGGGTAAACTTGACTGCATAGCTCCTTGGGCACATATACCTATGGCCATATAAAGATTCTGTAAATAGAGTCCTTGCTTCGGGAGGGACATCTATGAGATGTACTTATAAGCTCTTCAACTCTGATATTCTTTGAGGGATTCTGCAAAGGTGATGAGAGTGGAGAGAGGTGTATTATAACAGTTTCAGTACAGGAATCAAAACGCAAGAACTTTTAACCAAGATCTTCATTAATTTTCTGTTTAAATTTGTAGAACAAATTTAAATTTGTAGAACAAAAATTGCTTCCCTTCTTTTTTTTTTTTTTAATCTTAAATTTTATTTTTATATTCCCCATACAATTGCAAACGCCCCATTCTGACCCCAATCCTTCCCCTCCGCCCCCCACCCCCCAAAAAGTGTCTCTGGTTCATAGTTTTTTGTTGATTTTGATTTTCACTTTCTTATATTCATTTTCCTGGTCCCTTATTTAAGTTTTCTAGATTCCTGCTATGAGTGAGACATCCGGTATTTTTCTTTTTTTTGGCTTATTTCGCTGAGCATGATCCTTCCAGCGCCATCCATGTTGCTGCAAATTGCATGTGTTTATCTTTTTGAATGCTGAGTAATATTCCATGGTATATATGTACCACATCTTCTTGATCCAGTCATCTGTTTTTGGGGCATTTGGGCTGTTTCCAAGCTTAGCTATTGTAAACAGTGCTGCTATAAACATAGGGGTGCAGGTGCTCTTTGGAATTGATGTTTCTGTGTTCTTTGGATAAATACCTAGGAGTGGAATTGCTGGATCATATGGAAGCTCTATGTTTAGTAGGTCCAGAAATCTCCACACAGCTCTCCATAGTGGTTGACCAGTTTGCACTCCCACCAACAGTGCAGAAGAGTTCCTTTCTCCACATCCTCGCCAACATTTGTTGTTGCTATTTTTTTAATATGTTGCCATTCTCACTGGTGTGAATGGTATCTCATGGTAGTTTTGATTTGCATTTCCCTGATTGCAAGTATGTTGAACATTTTTTCATATGTCTGTTGGCCATTTGCATTTCCTCTTCAGAGAAGTTTCTTTTTAGCTCTTCTGCCCATTTTTTGACTGGATTATTTTCTTTGTTGTTGCTGAGTCTCCTCAGCTCTTTGCAGATTTTTGTGATCAGTCCTTTATCATTAGTGTTGGGTGCAAAAATGTTCTCCCAGTTGGTGGGGTTTCTCTTTGTTTTTGTTATTGTCTCTTTTGCTGTGCAGAAGCTCTTTAATTTGATGTAGTCCCAGCTGTTTATCTTTGTCTTCACTATCACTGCTTTGGGTGATGTGTCTGTAAAGATGTCTTTGATGTGCAAATCCCGTAGTGTTTCACCTATATTTCCTTCTATGTATTTTATGGTTTCAGTTATGTCTAGTTCTTTAATCCATTTTGAGTTGATTTGTGTATGGTGTGAGGTAGTGGTCAAGCTTCATTCTTTTGCATGTAGCAACCCAGTTTTCCCAGCACCATTTATTGAACAACTTTCTTTGCTCCAATGCATAGTCTTTGCTCCTTTGTCAAAGATTAGTTGACCATAAATCTGTGGGTTTATTTCTGGATTTTCTATTCGTCCATTGGTCTGTATGTCTGTTCTTGTTCCAATACCATGCAGTTTTGATGATTATGGCTTTGCAGTATAGTTTGAAGTCTGGGAGTTGATGCCTCCATTTTCCTTCTTTTTTTTTCAGTAGAGCTTTGGCTATTTCGGGTTTTTGGTGATTCCATATGAATTCATCAATAATTGTTCTATTTCTTTGAAGAATGCCATTGAGATTTTGATTGGAATAGCATTGAATCTGTATATTGCTTTTGGTAGGATGGCCATTTTAATAATGTTTATTCTTCCAATCCATGAGCAGGGATGTCTTTCCATTTCTTTGTGTCTTCTTCTATTCTTTAACAGTGTTTTATAGTTTTCTTTGTATAGGTTCTTTACCTCTTTTGTTAGATTTATTCCCAAATATTTGATTTTTTTTGTTTCAATAATAAAAGGGGTGTTTTTTTGATTTCTTCTTCTTCAGATTTATTGTTTGTGTATAGGAAGGCTACTGACTTTTGCGTGTTGATTTTGTATCCTGCCACTTTACTGAACTGACTGATGAGTTGAATTAGTTTTTCTGTGGAGATTTTGGGGTTCTCTATGTATATTATCATATCATCTGCAAATAGTGATAGTTTGACTTCTTCTTTTCCTATTTGGATTCCTTGGATGTCTTTCTCTTGTCTTATTGCTCTGGCTAGGACTTCCAGTATTATATTGAAAAGCAGTGGTGAGAGTGGACATCCTTGTCTTGTTCCAGATCTTAATGGAATTGCTTTCAGCTTTTCACCATTGAGAATGATACTGGCTGTTGGCTTGTCATAGATGGCCTTTATGATATTGAGGTATGTTCCTTGTATCCCAAGAATTTCAAGGGCTTTTATCATGAATGGGTGTTGCACTTTGTCGAAAGCTTTCTCAGCATCTATTGATATTATCATATGGTTTTTATATTTCTTTTTGTTGATGTGTTGGATAACATTGATTGATTTTCGGATGTTAAACCATCCTTGTGCCCCTGGAATGAATCCAACTTGGTCGTGGTGAATTATCTTATGGATACATTGTTGGATTCTGATAGCTAAAATTTTATTGAGGATTTTGCATCAGTGTTCATTAGGGAGATTGGCCTATAGTTTTCCTTTTTTGTGTTGTCCTTATTCGGTTTTGGTATTAGTGTAATATTGGCTTCATAGAACGTGTTTGGTATTGTCCCTTCCTTCTCAATTTTTTGGAAGAGTTTGTGAAGGATAGGCACTAATTCGTCTCTGAATGTTTGGTAGAATTCATTTGTAAATCCATCAGGTCCTGGCTTTTTTTTGGGGAGGTTTTTGATTACCATTTCAATTTCGCTACTTGTAATTGGTCTGTTTAGGTGTTCTATTTCTTCTTTATCTAGCTTTGGGTGATTGTAGAGTTGTAGGAATTTGTCCATCTCCTCTAGATTGTTGAACTTGTTTCCATATAACTGTTCATAGTAGTTACTGATTATTCTTTTGATTTCTGCTGTGTCCATTGTGATTTCTCCTCTTTCATTTATGATCCTGTGTATTTGTGCTTTCTCCCTTTTTTCCTTTGTGAGCCTGGCTAGGGGTTTGTCTATTTTATTTATTTTTTCAAAGAACCAGCTCTTGGTGTCATTGATCTTTTGGATTGTTTTTTTAGTTTCAATTTCATTTATTACTGCTTTGGTTTTTATTATTTCTTTCTTCTACTGGATTTGGGGTTTTTTGTTGTTCTTTTTCTAGATCTTTGAGCTTCGAGATTAGGTTGTTTCTTTGAGTTCTTTCTTGTTTTTTGATGTGAGCTTCTATTGCTATATATTTTCCTCTTATTACTGCTTTTGCTGCATCCCATACATTTAGGATATTGGTGTCCTCCTTGTCATTCAATTCAAAGAATTTTTTAATTTCTTCTTTGATCTCCTCATTAGTCCAGTGGTCTTCCAGTAGTGTGGCTTTTAATCTCCATGAGGTAGGATAGTTCCTTGCCTTCTTTTTATGATTTATTTCTAGTTTGATGCCTTCGTGGTCAGAAAAGATGGTTGGTATGATTTCAATCTTGGTGTATCTGTTGATGTTTGTCTTGTGCCCCAGTATGTGATCGATCCTGGAGAATGATCCGTGTGCGCTTGAGAAAAATGTGTACTCCGTTTTTTTGGGTTTAGTGTTCTATAGATGTCTGTTAAGCCCAAATGCTCTAGGTCCTTATTTAGAGCTTTAGTTTCTTTACTTATTTTTTGTCTTGTTGATCTATCCATTGTTGATAGTGGTGTGTTGAAGTCTCCCACTACGTATGTGTTTTCTCTGATGTCTGTTTTCAGAGAGGACAACAGTTGTCTGATATATTTTGGTGCTCTTTCGTTTGGTGAGTATATGTTAATGAGTGTTATTTCTTCTTGAAGTATTGTCCCCTTAATCATAATGTAGTGACCATTGGGGTCTCTTTTATTTTTTTGAGTTTGAAGTCTGTTTTATCTGATATAAGTATAGCTGTTCCTGCTTTCTTTTTTGGCCCATTTGCTTGTAGGATTGTTTTCCATCCTTTGACTTTGAGCCTATTTTTATCTTTTGTAGCTAAATGTGTTTCCTGGAGACAGCAAAAGGTTGGGTTTTGTTTCTTAATCCAGGCTGCAACTCTGTGTCTTTTTATTGAAGAGTTTAGTCCATTTACATTTAGAGTTAATATTGATATGTTAGCATCTGTATTTGCCATTATGTTTGTCTTTCCTTTGCTTTTATTTATTCTTTTAATAACTTTTTTTTTTTTTTTGGTCTTCTTTCATTGTTATTCGTCCCTCTGAGGTTCTGGCTTTAGGATTCCTTGTAGTATTTTTTGGAGTGGGGGTTTATTCGTAATGAAATTCCGGAGTTTCTCTTTGTCTGGGAAGGTCCATATTCTTTCTTCATGGAGGAAAGAGAGCTTTGCGGGATAGAGTATTCTTGGTTGGCATCTGTTTTCTTGGAGTCTGTTGACTATGTCCCTCCACTCTCTCCTTGCCCGTAGTGTTTCTTCAGAGAACTCTGATGTCAGCCTGATTGGTTTTCCTTTGAATGTTATCTGTTTCTTCCCTCTTGTCAGCTTCATTATTTTTCCTTGTCCTGGATTCTTGGGAGCTTTACTATTATGTGT